GCATTACAAACTTCTGGATCTCAGCGTTTAGACTCCCGCAAGCTTGCATTAAAGAGATGGACCAACTATGTTCCGCTTTCTTGTGGTCATGTCCATATTTAAACACCAACAAAGCGAAAGTTGCTTGGAAAGATGTTTGTTTGCCTAAAGAAGAAGGTGGGTTGGGATTGAAATCACTGCGAGAGAAAAAAAAAAGTCAGCTGTTTGAAGCTAATATGGAGAATTTTCTCTGCTAAATCTTCATTCTGGGTAGACTGGGTTAAACTGTTTCTTATCAGAGAAGGCTCCCTCTGGACAGTCAAACAAACCTCCTCGCTTGGCTTATGGATGTGGAAAAAACTACTAAAATACAGGGAGACTGCAATTTCTTTTGTTAAAGTGGAGGTATACAATGGCTTAACTACTTCTTTCTGGCATGACTGGTGGTGCAGGTTGGGTATACTGCAAAATTTGACTGGCGCAAGAGGTTGTGTGGACATGGGAAACCCCAATCACGCTAAAGTATCAACGGTTCTGGCATCTCACAGAAGAAAACGCCATAGAATCAGTATTTTGAATGAATTAGAGAAAGTAATTGAAGCTTAACGGCAGAAAGGAACAGTTCAAAACGACGATGTTGTATTATGGAAATACAAATATGACAGTTACAAGGCCACTTTCAACTCCAAGGCCTCTTGGAAGCTTATTAGTGTAGCACAACCGATCACGGAATGGTATACGGGTGTGTGGTTCAAAGACGCAACACCTAAGTACTCTTTCCTGACATGGCTTGCAGCTCTAAATCGGTTATCAATAGGTGATCGGATGGTCAGATGGAATGTAGGGGTAAACATATCATGTGTTCTCTGTCAGGTTCCGATTGAAACCCGCAATCACCTTTTTTTTTAATGCCCCTGGTCTGCGGAGGTCTGGAAGGAACTCACTAGCATAATGCTTGGCACCAGGTATACAACACAATGGGAGAGTATCTTTGCTTTGTTGATCGATGAATCTCAAGCCCAGATCCCCTTGTTCCTCCTTCGATATGTATTCCAAGCGACAATCCACTCAATCTGGCGAGAAAGAAACGGGAGAAGACATGGAGAGTCTCCCACTCCCCCTCGACAGATATCACGGTTGATAGATAAGCAAGTTTGAAACCGATTAAGTACCATTCGTAAGATGTGCGACACCCAATTTGAGGAGGGGATGGAAGTATGGTTCTCTACTCATTGATATGTTAGGATACAGCTCCTAAATTCTTAAAAATAGAGTAACACAAGTTGTAAAAACGTTTTTTGGTTTGAATTAATTTTAAATTCATTAAAAAAAATAACTTTTCTATTCTATTTGGATCTATTATATTAATAAATATTAGTTATTATGTGAATTAAAGGATTAAAGAACATAGAGCATAATAAATAAAATATTTAAAACTTAAATTAATAAAATTAATTTGATGATGTGTCATGGTTTAAAAATATGAGCTAATAAGATGGCAGCATAAGAAAATACTCTATTCTTCTTTATATATATATATATATATATACTAGATGAGTACTCACATGATGCGTGGATTTTTGCTTCACAATATAGTTTGTTAAAAAAGTTTAATTACAATCTATTTTATTGTATACTTAATCTTTTTCAGTATAGCATGATTTGTTAACCAAAGAATGTGAATTGTGTTATGCCTTATATATGTAGCATAAATTGAATATATATATTGCAAATCAGAGAAGTATATAACAAAAAATAATTAGAGAGACCCATCAAGCATAATATAGGTAGAGACGGCCCTTTTTTAGCAGGTTATGCTAGTCCATGGCGCAGAATACTTGAAATTTTCTAGTTACTACTTGTTTGGGCACATATCTAGATCTCAACTCACGATCTATCTCACTTTTATCCTGGCTATTCTTGTAAGGTTTTCATCATATTGACAATAAACTAAAATATACACTCATTAGACATATAGAAACCAAAGCAGATATAATTTTAATTAGCACATAATTAAAAGATAAATAACTAATTAATTTAACTTTGATTATATCATAGTAATAAACTATTAATTACAAAATTTCATAGAATAAATGTCACTCTCTTTAGTACTAACGTGACACTCAACTGGAGAGAGTTCGCCATATTTTATAGGGATAATTTTTGAAATAACCCACTTGACAATTTGATCATGAAACATGATCCTTCCTAAAATGACCTATAAGACGGATCAACTAGTTTGCTTTCAGTCTGCTGTTAGTCTGCTAGTAATTTACAATTAGTCTATCATTAATCTGCCGGTTGTCAACATTTAATTATTTGATCAATTCAGTCTGCCACTAGTTTGCCAGTAGTTTGTATTCAGTCTGTCGTTAGTCTGCCATTAGTCTACAAATAACAATACTTAAAAAGGTAGCGCTGGTATTTATAAAAATCGTAAAAATATATCATTTTCAGGCTTTTCTCTCAATTGAATACTTATTTCACATTATTTTATCATTCTGAGTTATTTTGAAACACATCCTCTATTTTATTTTATATATAGATACTTCTTAACAAAAAGAACAAAAGTAGGGCAATTAATACGAAGGCAACCTATGGAAGAGGCCTGAAGGCGACTAGAAGCATTTTGGCATATTATGTGATTTTATGGGCCAGCCTTTTATTTGAATTTATATTATACTTGAATGCTTATTCATTTCAACCAACTAGGTGATTGTGTACACAAAATGTTTTACGCAAGATGAAATGTCTTTTAACTCAAATCTAATCATATATGAGCTGAGTGACTTATAAACTTTTTATACTACTTTTGAGCCCTAGCGTACTTTACAATGTGAAAGTTTTAGTAAACATATCATGTGTCTCTAGTGGCTATATATGATCTTGTTGCATGAGAGCATAAATTGTGTGTTTTTTTCTAAATGAGCAGAAATTATACTTGCCACATGTTTGTGTATAAATGCGGCAAGAAGATCCGATAACAAAAAAACCCGTTGATTCTAGACATAAAGCATCCTCTTTTGTTTTTGCTATTCTCTTCAATTTAAATACTACACATTTGTAAGAATTATGTTTGTTCATGCTACTATCGTTTTTGCTCGGTTTATACAACTTATTGTTATCCGTTAAATGGAAAGTCTAGTGTCAAGAGAAATTATATTCTTCAAGATCAAATGTTCTTTGGAAGAATATAAGATCTTTAAAGAGTTATGTTCGATTAGTCTAATTAGTTGGCTGTCTAGGGAAATAGAGATAAGAACAAGCTAGAAAAATGAAGAAACCTTCGAAAAATACTCACAACAATTCTCTAAGGTGAGAATGACTTCAAGTTGAGTTTACATTCTCAACAAGAGGCTTAAATACATTAGACCCCATCCAAACATAGATGTGGCCAAAAATGCATGGGCTAAAATTGTGGTCCACTCGAGTGATTTAGATGTTCACGTATAGATTTTAAATATGTGGATGTATTATTTATATATATATATATATATGTATGCATTAATTTAGATTTACATCTATATCAAGTCAAACTAAATCCAATGAACTAATGAATGCATTAAATATAAACTAAAAAGAACATATAGCAATTCAAACTGCTTTACATGTATTTAACGTTTAATCACATTATCTAACCATAAAAACTTAGTTATATCAGGAACACCAGCCAAATTTTGTTTGAGTGTGAAACTAACCATCTAGTAAGTAGTAAATATACGTTAGTGAATTTAGTGTAAAATTACGTGATAATGTATTATAATATACATACCTTTGTTCATGTACTTGAGTCATTAGAGAGTTGTAAATTCTGTACTTCTACATTCTATCCCTATTCTAACATATTTCTCTTTTATTTTGGTCGTATTCAAACGTAAACTTAGATTTGATAGTTGAGCTTGTGTAACCAGGGTGATGTTACATGAAGTGCGTATACATAAAAATTTAAATTTTTTGCTCATATAGCCGAGTGTCTAATGATGATGTAACCGCTAGCAGAGTAAAAAAACTTGCAGAAAATTTGGCACATGCCAATAGTTCGTGTAGTAGGATGATTTATCTATTTTATTTCATATAAAATAAAGTAATTGTTGGTCCATATTCAACCATAAAATAAGTGTTGTTGGTCCATAGTGAAGGGGCCAATCCAATCTTCTGCAAATAAGGAAAGGAATGCATGCATTTCTTTCATATATTACTCATCCTTTTCAGCTTTTCTTCCCGATGATATCTTTCAAATCAATTTGATATTTTGATGTATACATAAATTTTGGTTAACCATGAATTTCTGGATCTTAACTTAATTCTATTATTATTTTTTTCTGGTGAGCTCAACAAATCTTTCGGTCGCTTTAATTTTTTTTTTTTTTTTGAAGATAGCTTAGCTTCTTTTTTTCAAAACAAACAGATTTGAGCTACTTCTTTTTACTTAAATATAATGAGATTTATAGAATTCCTCTAAACCAACTTGCAATTAATAGAATCTTAAGTATATATATAGAGTTATAGGCCAGTGTTAAAAAATATCCACATTCAGTATCGAATATGGTACGATGGGTAGTAAAAGTTTGGAAGCATAAAACTGTTTTGTTCTAAGAAAGCTTAAGAACCCCGTGTTGGTGTTTTTAAAAGCTATCGTGTTTTTAGATAAAAATATAACTAAACATATAACAAATCTAATTGTTCTGTAGCATTTGCCTCAATCGAAAGAGTTAAAGTTGAAATCTTTGATAAATGACAATATAAAAAACATCTAACTATAATTTAACTAAGTAATATACTTAATTAATAAATCACTAATTTTAATGAAAATTTTGAAATTTGTGACTTATATTGGCTCAAAAACTTGAATATGAATTAAATGTCTCCCTACCTCCACATCATCACCACCACCATGCCCACTAACATTAAACACATGAACTTTAAAACATGCACAATAACATAAAGATGAATTCCAAATCTAAAGACGCAACCAAACTCCTCCTGTCCTCCATTCAAATACTTAAGCAAAAAGGAACATTTGAATTAAAGCTTTCATTACTTCAACTTCAATAATCATATTGAAACAATTATCTTATTTACAAAAATCCAGCAGAACTTATAAAACTAAATAAATATATACAAAGATGGACCATGATCTGATATTTCCTTCCTAAAAATCCAAAAATCTTTGACCTAACATTGATCTAACCCTGCTTTCTAACTCCCATATGTCACAATTAAAGAGTTAGGAACCTTACATAAATGCACTACTACTACCTCTTTCCCTTTTAATAAAAAAATCGAATCCAAACTTTGCCAAATCGAAGCCCGAATCTCAGGTTAACAATGTTGAGGACGTGCAAAAGGCAATAGTTTTTGTTGGACCGCAATATCCTCAGCGATTTTCTTAGCATCAATGGCTGCACCAAGCAATCCAAGCTTTGTGAAACCGACGGCATACAATCCGCTTTCGCCTTTCCATCCATTAGGAAATGGTTTTTGCGGAAATCCATCATTCTCACAGAACATGTTCAACCCCTACAAACAGAACAAATCAAAGTCAAACAAAGTTAATTAAACTAGTGAAACGTCAAATGGGTTGCGATGTGTCAACATCAAGGAATTAAGAATAATTAAGATGTAGACGCATCATCGCTCATGGTACACACCTTTAGCCACATGGGTACGTTGCTTTTGTAACCCGTAGCGAGTATAATGGCGTCAAAGTTATCCACTCTCCCATTAACAAACTCTGCCGAATGTTGCATTACCCGTTTCAACTCCGGATACACCTATAGAAAAACACATATAGAATATATAAATAAAATTCACTATACAATAATATCACGTCTTTTTTTGCAATCAACATAATTTTAACACAAGACTTAATAAGTGTACCTTGATGTGTCCACTTCGGATTTTGGCGAGAGTTCCAACGTCCAAAACAGGAGTCTTTCCGCACTTGATCTTGCGTTCAAGAGGGCCTAGTTTTGGTCGAACTAGCCCTAATCGATCCGTGTCGCCAAGAACCATGCGAGACATGTGTAACAAGAACCGGTCCACCACTTGCACTGGAAACCACTTTAGCAGGCTCGTTGATATCCCGAAAGTCGATAAACCTAGCATTTCTTGAGGTAATACGTGCACCTACAGCATTAGTCCACAACTCGATTAGCCTAAATAAAAGATTCATTATAAATAAATGATTAGAAAAAAATACAAGACCTTAAGTGCTTGGGAAGTTAAAGAATAAATTAGTAAACACTTGCTTACTTGATCACAAAGAGGCCATTAAGTGTTATTGTTTAAGCCCTAAAGAGTAATTAATAACGTACAGCAGACAAGTGCAATATACTATGCTAATTATCTATCAATGTTCTACATATATATCTTTTGAGATATCAAACCTGTGACATACAAAAAAGAGAAAAGTTTTTTTTTTTTCTATTCTCACCGAGTCACGAACCACAAGAGAAGGAAGAGAGTTGAAGTTGCAAAGATCTAAACAAACTTCCATCCCGGAGTTTCCACATCCCACGACCAGAACCTTCTTCTCTCTAAACATTTCGCCACTCTTATAGGAGCTTGTGTGGAGGAGTGGACCGCCAAAATCCGCCAAACCATCAATCTCCGGCATCACCTCCTCAGCATTCTCCCCCGTAGCCACAACAAGCCACCGGGAAACATACTCCGTTGTCTCCTCTTTCTTTCCTCCGGTAGTCCTCACTCTCCATAACCCGCACCGCCTATCAAACTTCGCATCTTCCACGGTCTGGTTAAAAACAGGCTTTAGGCCAAAATGTTCAGCGTAGGACTCAAGGTATTGGACGAATTGTTGTTTTGTAGGGTAAGTAGGGTAGCTTGAAGGGAAATGCATCAAAGGAAGCTCACAGAAATGCTTAGGTAGGTGAAGTCGGAGACGATCATATGTTTTAAGCTGCCATAGTGAGGCAATGCAATTAGAACGTTCTAGAATCAAACTAGAGACGTCTCTCGACTTCAAACATGCCGCCGTGGCCAGCCCCGACGGTCCAGAACCGACAATGATTGGTCCCCGGATCATTATGCACCTTGAATCCTCCATAAACGGATCATGGAGTCTCTTACCCAACGTTTCTGTTAAAAACTCCATAAAAGCCAGAGAGTGAGAGAGAGACAACGAAAGAGAAGAGAAAGAGAGAGATCTGAAGATATACAAGAAGTGAACTAGAGGACTGGTTTTAATTAGGTTTATAAATCCATGTGATAAAAAATATCATACTCTCTTTTGTGACTCGTGGATAATTATGTCCCGAAAACTGAGGTGAAAAGAGAGAATGAGTTTCATTGATCTTATCTACAAGACAATTAAGAAGAAATTTAAACCAAATAGATAAGAAGAAGATCGGATATTCCCTAGAGATCAGGGGGAGTTATACGGACGGAGATTTTGTAATATTTTTTGTTATAAAAATAATATTTCTCAAGAATTGAGATCTCGGATTTGGGATGTTGAGAGAAGAAGAGGTTTGCGGTTCTGAAACAAACACTTGGGGGGGGGGGGGGAACTGACTCTATATATGAGTAGGAAAAGAGAGATGAGATGGTGATGGACACATAACATAATTAAGAAGAGATATACATATGTCTATTTGTATCTAAATTATGTATATATATAGGTGGATAAGTTAGTGGCATGTTCATGTTATTGTATCTAATTTTATTTAACAATTACTTTATATGGATTAGTTTGGGCTATTGCAATCTAATTACGAACCATTAACTAACGATTATATTTTTAGGTATCTCACTTTTGATAAAAGAGGAGATTGCAAAACGCCAATACACAAAAGAAAAGATAGGAACAAGTTAGATCATTATAAAACGAGTAGTCATTATTGATTTATGTGTTACAAAGTCAAACCAAGCTAAAAGATACAAAAAATTTACTTGAAAATTTATACAAGTGGCTCACAAATATTACATAATTAGCTAAACGTTTTACTTAGTTTAATAATAACAAAACTTTTAACCTAGTACGGCCGTTTTCCTTGATTCTACTCTAAACCAGATCATCTCATGTAGTATCTCTTATCCAAAGTTACGTTCCTTGCACACTTTGATCAGAAAAGCGACTTTTTCATATTTTTCAACTGTTGCTCTAAGTTCAGTTCACGAACTCGGATTCTCACCTAAAACCTTCCTCAATTCATATTTTTCATCATTCCTATATACAAACTTAAAAAAGTTAGCCAATTCTTATATTGGATGTTGACCGAAGATGATTCTTTATGTCTATCACCACATTATTTTAGAAAAAATGTTTCAAAATAACCTAAAATAAAAAAGTAATGTGAAATGGGTACTTTTATTTTTAACACTGATAGTATATTGATCAAACCAGCATCGCATACATCATTTGGTAGAAACCAAGTTCTCCGAAAACAAAAGCCCAAAACGATAGCAAACAACATGTGAATAATAAAACTGCTAAAAACCCAATAGAAGATTCACGGTAGATGACGCCGGAGACCAAAGATAGCACAGGCAAAACACACAATCTTTTATAATAGAAACCAGATATGAGACTAGAAACACACCCAAATGGATTAAACCTTTAGGTCCTCCTTACTGCAAGATTTGGAAGGTTAAGACGCCAATGGATACTCTTTATATTGCTCCGGCAAGATGGAGCCACAGAGGTGCAAAGACGAAACAAAACCTTGAGACGCAAACTATTCGTCTTTAAGAATTAGGCAAGGAGACAAACCAACGGTGGTGAAGATTTCCACATCCAAGGCGGGGAAAGAACTGGTTTTAAGCACCACCTCGGCCGAAAAGTTACGGCCATATCTGAACAAAAGTCCGAAAAAGAGACACCCAAACGAGCAGCACCACTTAAGACTAATAGGACTGAACGAAAACCTGATAAAACCCAAGTAAACCAGAGACAGAAACCGCAAAAAACCCAGATCTATAACAGAGAGACCTTAAAAAAAAGAGAAAAAACTGATCGCTAGCTTCTTATCTTACCGGATCTAGGATATACATGTAAGGATTCGTCGGATCACACCGTCAAAGACAAAAAACCATAGACAGATCTGAAGAGACAAACCGAGAACATAAACAATCAATAAAAGAAGCACAGCTCCGGCGTATGGGAGCCGCCGGAACTGTAGATTGAAAACCCTAATGGAGAACCCCGAGTCGTCCATCAAGCTTCGTTTTGGAAACGAGTACTTTATCGAGGGATAATTATGAAAATGACCTCTATTTTATGTTTTTTTAAAAATATCAGTGCTATTCTTTGAACTACTTTTACTTGTAGCTTAATGGCAGATTAATGGTAGACTGAATGCAAACTACTGACAAACTAATTGGTCTTATAATTAAATATAGACTATTGGCAGACTAATGGCATACTAAATGCAAATTACTAGTAGACTAAGGACAGATTAAAAACACATTAATGGACTCTTCTTATAGGTCATTTTAGAAAGAGTCATGTTTAGTAATAAAATTGCCAAATCGATCATTTCAAAAGTTATCCCATTATTTTCAAAAAAAATTATTTTATATATATTTCATTAATAATTATATCGAAAAACATGATAATTACTCAAAACCGTAGTTTATTTAGATAACTACAAATATGTTTCATGTTTCCTCCAAAAATATTTCATATTTCAAATTATTTTCTGTTTTTCATTTTCAATCATTTTTAAGTCGTTTTGATTTTGCGTACGGCTTCCTGTTCCAAAATGAACACCTTTTACAATTAAAATGGTAACCATAAGACATATTGAGAGACTCCAATATCGTTATTTTAGCCAAAGTAGTTCTCATGTGTTAAACCATTTTTTGAAAGAAAAATAATTTTATTTAAATACCTATTAAATAATTAAAATATTTTTATTAAAACGAATAGAAAATTCAAAGCATCATAACAATAAACATTAAAATTTAAACTTAAAAATAGAAATAACTAAAATACTTTAAATAAAATTAAAGCACCTTTTTATGATTCTCGAAAATAGCACCGTTCTGATTTTAACTCAAGTCACTCACTTGAAAAGGGAAAAGAGAGGTGAGTAATAAGTTACTCAGTGAAACGATCATACCTGCCTACTAGATCTATACAAATCATTAATCATAAACACATATACATCTACTTAACCTAGCGATTAAACAAACAATAATTGATAAGGCTCAGGTTTTACCTAAGAAAAACTACTGCAAGTGCACAACAAAGCAGTTATAGTATAAAGAGTTATTGAATCCCAAGGGAGTAAGTAAACTATACTATAAAATTTAAGTTCGGATTAAGCTAAGAAATCAGTAGTGTATGTAATGCGAAATAGCAAATTAATGAAAGCAAGCGATTTATTGATTGATCTAAGATTCAAGAAACTAAAAGCGCTAAGTCAGGACAATTCGCAGGTTGAATCCAAGAATGTAGAATGCATGCAAGCAGGAATGATTTAAACCGTCTTGAACTCAAAACTCAATGATATAACTAAACAATTCTCATTGCAAAATTTATCTATGCCTAATTCACAGAATTCCAAATCTCTTTGCAACTTCTAACAACTTAAGCAAGCATTAAAGATCAGGTTTCGATTGTTCACAAAACTCCTAAGTCACATCTTTTGCAAATTTGCGTTTTGCTCATCTAATACTAGTTCAGGTAATTAACAATGTTCTCACATCTATTAAACAACCTATAGTATTTCGAATTTTCAGATGACTAGTAAAAAAAATCGGTTTGAATGCAAGCACATATGCAGAACCAATAGATATTCCTAACAGTTTAGCGATTCTACAAACACTTCATCAACTTTTGAAAAGCCCTAACATAACTAACATATTACTCAGACATGATCATGGAAACACAAAACAAAACTGAATAAAACTGCATTAAAAGAGATAAAGCAAAGGTTAAAGGGGTTCGAAATCTTCTCAAAAAGAGTACAGGATCTGTCTCCCCAAAAGTTCTGAATAAAACTCTCTCTGTGTTATTAAGCCTAGAGTTGGTCAAAAGAAGCAAGTGAACGTGTAGAAGCGAGTTTGAAAAGTGTACCTCGCGAGGGATCGGGTGATGAGCGTCACCTCTCAAGTGCATCATCCAATTTCGCTGACTAATCCTTCCTTGTCTTCCCAACTGTCTTCTCAAGTATATGCTTGATCTGTCTGTTGGAAACTTCAACCTGTTGATGCAATATTGAGGATAGCATCAACAATGGAGCTGAGGATTAACGGACATGATGGTCTAGCCAAGGGTAAAGGAGAGACGACCTCCCTTGGGGAACATGTCATGAATAAAGGAGAGACTATCTTTCATGATTTGTTCCTTCTAGACCTCAATCCTTCCGTACATTCAGACTCAACCTGAACTTGGAAATCATACTCAACTCACCTAGAGTTCATCACGAAGAAGAATCAGCTAAAAAGGAGTTTATATGAGAAAGATATTGAAGATGCAAGTTGGCAGATCTTCAATAGACCCGATGGATATATGCGAGTACTAGATATTTCATTCCGGCCAAACCACGACGAACCAAGCCACGAACCGAATGTTTTGGAAATTTAACTCATCAAAGAACCGAGGAAAATTGGATTCATGCCAAAATTCATTACGGTTTAAAAGTTATTCAACTTCGAAACCGGATGATGCTCAACCTGCCTTATTTGGAAGCTCTTGGGATTATTCATTTACTAAGAAGAATTTGGCGACCAGGAGAGTTTATTAATCATCTAGAAGCTATCCAAGACGTCTTACCATGCTCCAACACACAGAGGATTAGGCGAATCCTTGATCATTCCCACTTCCCTTACTTGGACACAAAAGCATTCAACACATTCACACTTGGAGCCTTTACTTTCCAACGGCTCTCTTGTCCAAGCTGCTGCTTTATGGACGTCTTATTTACCATCCAGAATGTCCCAGAGAATCTCACTTATCCCCTCAAACCGTGCGGATACAAGAAGACCCCAGTTTCCATATTTTTGGCTGATTTCCTCATTATGGCCTAACAACTAGTTTTTATTCAATGCTTTGATTTTCTTTCTTGTTTCTATATTTTAGACCGTTAGCTTACTCATGCAAGAGCTCTATATAAAGCTCATTTCGTTCTTTGTACAAGGCAACCTTGATCATACATTAATAAAAACAGTATTGTTTTCTTTTCAAAGACTTGTCTTCTTTGAGTTACTTTTCATTTGAGTTTAGTGTGTGATACACCATCCTCTTGTGAAGCCACGAATCTGTTTGTTGTGTGATTCAACAGATTGTTTTTGTCCCATTGATTGAGTGAGTCAGTCGCTTCCCCTCCATCTCTACCATCATTCCCACCTTCCGCAAGTTTAAGCTCGGAATCTCTTGATCATTGAGTGATCTTAAGTTGGAGTGATTCCAATCTTATATCATTTGGTATCAGAGCTTAAAAGCTCATATCTACTAGGTTGTATCTTTTCAACCTCTATCTTTAATTATTTACTAGGTAATAATCCGCACCCTGTGCGGGATGAAATAATTATTATTTATTTAAA